TCTTGAGATAAAGGCATTTTTAATAATAGTGGTGATAAAACAACGCGTTGAAGAAAGGAAGTGGGTGGCGTAGGGAGAAATTCGTCGCTCGGTGGTATTCGTCGCTCGGTGGTTGATTACGTTATATATTCCCTATTAGATAAGCTAAAATAAGCTTAATTAGGGTTCTAGGGGCCACTAAGATGAAAATCGGTGTGGAGATATATATATCATCACTTACTAAGGAAGCCTGATCATGTATCTTCTAATTCCTGTAATACACTTTGCATTACCGCATGCACTCCCTGCTTAAGTCCTCCACAGCAAGGTTTATATGCCTCAATGTATGCGGATGTAGAGCTTCATATAATGTTCCTGCAGAGTTGGTCTTATGTTTTGTTATCACTGGCCGAGATCGAGTTGGTAGATCCGGATGTTTCTACCAATTCAGTTCGCAACATCTGATTCTGAATGCCGAAGCTCATGAGCAGTCCAGCAGCGGCAAAGCACGCATATAAGATCCACATCCGGCTTAGGCTCTGTGAATATGCTTCTTTGACTATCTGCGCCTCTCCATGACTCAACGACTGGATTAGAGCCACGTTTGCGGCAGCACTCTGGCCGGAAAACTCTCTGGCGACATTCCCAGGAAGAAGCCTTTGAAGCATGGCCTGACGGGACTGCATCTCGTTCTGAAACATGACCCCGCCAATCGCAATGGACACCGAGGTCGAAAGACTCCGGATAAATCCAAAAAAGGCCGTGGCCGTGGCAACGTCGTTGTGGTGAACGCAAGATTGAAGAGCAATGAGGGGTGGTTGAAAGACCAGCCCCACGCCTAGCCCTCCAAGTAGCTCGAGGCCAATAATGGAGGAGATTGTTGACTTGTCGGACAAAAGGGTGAAGAGTGAGAAGGCTAATGTGGTAAGCGTCATACCGAGATAGATCAACGGGAGATACCGGCCGGTGCGGCGGATGATGAAGCCAGCCAGGAATCCTGTCACAGCCTGGATGACGGTCATTGGCATGAGGAGAAGGCCGGATCGAAGAGGGGTCAGGGAGCGGCTGGATTGAAAGTATAGTGGAAGAAAGTACCAGGACGAAACGTTGACCTAGATCCATCAAAATGGTCAGTGTCCGTAAGTCGAGTGAGGCCATGTTCTTGGTCTGTCCTTACAAATCCGTGCATGAAGCAAACCAGCAGCGACGCATTGTTGGACAGACGTCGTAAAATGCGCATTGGTATCAAGGCTTTATCCTCCGATATAATCTTCGCTTCATAGACCACGAAAGCCGCCATGGTGAAGCCTCCAAACACAAGAAGACAGATTACCTTGGCGGACCCCCATGAGCTGTAGACACCCCCGATGTTGAGACCCAGAAGCGACATGGTAGTTATACCCGCGATGGCCAGACTCCCAAGCCAGTCTATTTGTCGCAAGCCGCTGCTGATTCCCGCTTGTCTCTCACGAACGCGGTCGAGACAGAAGAACAGAACAACAAACGAGAATCCACAGCAGGGAAGGTTGATCCACCAGTTCCAGCGCCAAGAGACGTACTCGGAAAATGCACCTCCAGCCAGAGGGCCAACGCCACTGGCAAGTCCCCAGACGACGCCAGTCAGCCCAAGGTAGAATCCTCTTTCTCTACCGTTCAATAGTCACCACACCGGACTCATGGATCATCTGGCAGGCAAAACAAACCTTTCTGTAAACAAGTCACTAATGCAGATATTCACCAGAATCACTATTCCTCCAGCCGCAGCACCTTGGATAGAACGGCCTGTTAGCATCATCCCCATCATTGTCGCGGCCGCACAGATAATCGATCCAATTGCAAAGATAAGAATGGCAACGAGGAGAATGGCTTTCCGTCCCCAGATATCGGATAGTTTCCCCCAGATGGGCGTTGACGCGGCGCTAGCGAGTTGGTACGCGGAGCCGATCCAGACATAGCTCCGTCCAGAGTGGAACGAGGACACAATTGTCGGGATTGCGGTGGTAGCAATGGTAAAGTCCAGTGCGGCTAGGAAGAGACAAAGCTAAATAGCAGTGTCAGTACCAGAATTGACTATTCTCTGTCATGCATGACCAACCAAGAGTGAGAATAGGGCACCACTCAGCCGGATTTTATTTCGTGCTGAATAGCCAGATTGTGAGTTGCTTATAGTAATGGGAGTAAATATAGAAACCTCTGGCTGCTGCTCTCTTCTAGATGGGTTTTTGAATCGAGGAACAGAGTTATGGAGGTTGATGTTTGTTAGTGTTGGTAATGAAGTGAGGGGTATATGGTTACTATTCATTCCTGGGATGTTGGAAATATCAGTACAAGCTGAGGTAGTAGCCGCCTTGGATGATGACATTTAGGAATTCAGTTATAGGAAGCATATAAACTATAGTGCTGTGAATATAGATGATTGATTTTATGTGTCTTAGGAAGGAGAGATAAAGAATGATGGAAAGTTAACTACTTTTTAGCTGTGCTGCCAACTGGCGGTGTGCTTATTATATATAAGGTCTCTAACAGGATATACTAGACCTGAGTCACACACATCATCTGCTGAAGATTAATAAGCTTTCTCTAGTTGGTCAGCCAACTTCATTAATCACCTTGCATTCCTGGCTTCAGGGGCAATCAATTAGAGGACAGTGGTGGTTATGTAAAATGCATTCAGACTGACATATAATAAAAACTGAGTTCCATAGGCAGGCTTTGTTATCATTCATTATTCAATCAGAATTCAGAAACTAGCATGTCTAGTGACTCTAGTGTATGAACCAAGTCAAATTTATGCCCATGAAGTATAGCTGCATAAAAAAGGTTAAAGGTTGTGTCTATTCATGAACTATTATCACCAGACCCATGTTAGATGGTTGGAGTGCAGCTAAGTGCTATATTGCTTGGTCTATACTCTGGCCTCTTGTAACTCTATGTATAATAGCTGTGGTGGGAGCCTAATAAGTAGCTAGGAGAGTCCTCCATGCACTATCTCCTGAACACTCCACAGGCAAGGGGTACAGAACGAGGACTAATTCGGCTTTCTCTAGCTCTCCGCCCACTGGGCAGCTATGACAACCAAAGAGGATTCCCATCGATTGCCCTCTGAGGTGAACGGAGGCAATGTCGAGAGGAAAAGAGATTTATCCGACAAGAGATCCTGCCCAAATCCAACCAGGAAATCTACGAAAATGACACAACAAAGCACACGATGACCCTACTCCGGGCTCTTGGGTCTGACCTGAACATCAACGCCTTTGCCCCCAACGGGCGATACGAGAACGGACGACTGAATGATGGTATTGAAGAAGCAAACTACCTGATGCCGCGCGTGGTAAAGGAACTCTCAATCAGTTCGCCCAACGATAAGCCGACAGACAAGGACCTTTACCTGACATCGACCAAGTTTAAGCACGAGGAGTACGGGACTTGTGCCAGGTTGTTCATGGATCGCCTGGGGACCAGCCGCACTCGCCAGAACCTGATGGTTCTGCGCAACGTGGTCATGAGCGCCTTTCCAACAGATCCTTGTTGGTTTAAGTTTACTTATTGACGGCCCTGAGCGTTGCCTTCCAGGGTATCCCAACGGCTCCAACGATAGAGGCCCCGAATAGACCGGTGGCAAGATACCAAGCGGAAACCAGAGCCGAATTATAAACCTCTCGCGCGGCATCCATGTACTCTTCGGGTATCACCGAGGACAGGTTCGTTGCCCCAATTTCATTTACAATTGACGGGCTGGTTCCTGGGACGAGAGCGAGAATGCCAGAGCGAAGCCTATTTGCGAACACGGCCTGGCTGACGGAGACGAAGATGGCACCGCCGAATGTCTGGCAAAAGGTCATAATGGCAGTGCCCACGGGGATGTCGGGCGGAGGAAGTACAGCCTGGGCAGCAATGATGGGTAGCTGGATTCCCATGCCAACGCCTGCGCCAAGAAGAACTTGGCATCCGATCCACTTCGAGTGACCCGTGGTTACCGTGAATGTCGTTATTAAGCCTGCCCCAATCGTGGACAGGACCGTTAGAAGAAGGGAAGAAAGTTTCCTATGGCCGTGACCCCGCCGCCTGTCACAAACGAGAAGAGCACCATGGAGAGCATCAGGGGCAGACACATAATGCCCGAGTGCACCGGAGACGCACCCTTGATGGCTTGGAACCAGATAGGGAGGTAGTACACCATGGTGAAGTAGCCGCCCGCCAGCAGAACCATAAAGAGCGACGCGAACAAAACCGTGCGCATGCGGATGATATGCGGGGGAACCATGGCATTATCCTGTTGCTTGATCTGAATCAGAATAAAGGCTGACACTAACAGACCGGAGAGAACGAAGAGGGCGATAATCCGCGCGTTGGACCAACTATATGTACTGCCCCCCCACTGGAGGGCTAAGAGAAGGCAGATAATTGCCGGAAGAAAAGTGATCATTCCCAATGGGTCCATATCTCGGATCCATCCCTTGAGAGAGGTCTCTTCCCGGGGACTGGCAGGCAACTGAAGAAAGACGGCGAGGATTACAACCACTACGCCCCCGATGGGCAGGTTGATGTAAAAGCTGTTCGTGACAAGGCACATCAGCAGCAGAGCTAGGAGGACTAAAGGGGAACTCACCACCACCTCCAGCTGACATTGGACGTGAACGCTCCACCGAGGAGAGGACCGATGATGGAGGATATGCCGTAGATCGAACCAAAGATCCCGTTATCTGTATTCGTCACATCAGCTACTGGATATACTGGATCGAAAATGACCATAGCAATGGGATATCTAACGTACACACTGGACGCTTGCGGGGCTCTACCGAGTAGGCGACAATCACCATCGCCCCTTGGAAAATGCCAGAAGCACCCAGCCCTGCGATGGCCCGGCCAACGATAAAACTATCTGAGGTTGGGGCGGCACCACAGACCGCAGAGCCAATTTCGAAGACAAGAATGGCGCAAAGAAATACCAGCTTCATGGGGAAATACCCGTAGAGCTTCCCAAACACCAGTTGGAACATGCATGTTGTCAGGAGATAGGATGAGCCATACCACCCTACAGAGTCAAGGGCTTTAAACTCATCCGTAATGCGGGGGATTGCAGTAGCGATGATTGTGTTGTCCTATATCAGACCTCAGTGAACAGCACGATGCCACATAACGAGTGCCGAAGACCAACCAACGCAACCAGAAAGACAGCGAGACAAAGGACAATAAAGACGGCGATCAATTCGAGTCCAGAAAGTGTGGGTGGTGCTCTCTCCAACCCAGAGTTTTCCTCGATTTTTACCTCTTCTGCAGGAGGAAGGACTTCCTTGGTAGTAGCAGGAGCATCGATAGTTCTGGGTGTACTGGTAACCCTTTCAGCCATCTTCATGATTTGGGGCCTTGGTTATGAATGAATAGGAAAGCATGAAACTGACACTGGGCTAGGAGTGGGGTCACATAAAAAAGGGATATCAAGGACCCCCAGAGCTGTCGCACTAAGGGTCTAGTCGAGGGTGTTTGTCATCCCAAGGGGCTAGACGCACTGCGTACGTGCCGTATAATGTGTCCTTGTAAGGGCTATTAGCGAGGACCTTGAGGGTTATTACCAACGGATCACACGAATCGATACCCTGAAAGCCAGGAGATGAGACAGTCAGTTGCCATCACCCATGAAGTATGAGGGAAATACACTGGAACATAGATATTGCGTTCTAATCCTTGTACGATGCCTTTCTCTACCTATTGACGCTGCTTACACATTAGATGCACCCTGGGATGGGTAATCCAGCTTTCCAGATCCCGTTTCCAATCCTCCGAACTGGCACCCTCGCTAGCCGGAAGCCGCAGCGTCCAGTTTTGCACCAGATGAAGCAGGAATAGTCGGAGCATCAAGTCGGCGACGTATCTACCCAAGCACTGGCGCGGACCAAACCCAAATCGCCACATGTGGTAGCGTGTTTCGGAGGTAGAAAGCTGTTCAAAACGGGCCGGCCTATACTCGTGCCGGTCCGGGCCCCAGAACTCATTCTCGACGTTCAAGGCGTAGGAATCGACAATGAAACTGGTTCCAGCGGGGACTACGTAGCCGTCGATCACTCGATCGGTTGGTGCAGCCTGAGGGACCGAGAAGGATGCCAGAGGCTTGAGCCGAGACGATTCCAGGATGCAAGAAGCGAGGTACGTGGAACTACTTTGCACGTACTGCATCATCTGCTCACCTTCTCTCGCCTTGGTCATTATCTCTTGAAACAGTCGCTCCTGTGCGTCGAGATCTGCGGCAAGAAAAACCAGGTTCCACGACAAGGCGCCCATAGTGACGTCCAGGTTGGCAAATAGCATTTCATCGAGAGTCTGATAGATGTTCGCAGCGCTGACTTGGCGAACGCGCACCGCCTCAAAAAGCTGATACACTGGCGTTTCTGTCCTCTTCTGGTCCCGAGCCCGCTGGAAGGCGGCCTGGTTGAAGGACCTCCACTGGGCCTGGAACGACTTCAGCGCCCGATTTGCGTCGCTCGGTAGATATCGCGACCATGTATACCGGGTCAGCCCACCCTTGATGACAAAACGGAAGAGCCTCTCGCGCTCGGAAGCCATCTGGCAGAGTTCTTCCTCCATGTCCGATGTGACAGGGCCGTACAGGATATCGGCAATGATTAGAAAGGGGAGGAACTTGAAATCCGCCACAGGGTCAATGGTGCCGCTTCGCAGTCCTTGATGCGCGGCACAGTAGGCATTCACTCTTTGCTGGATCCTGACAATGTATTCGACGGCGGTGCCGTGTCGGAACGTGGGCTCGCTGACACGCCGGAGAGCTCGCCAATCCGAACCACTGATCAGACCCAGACACTGGCCCAGGAGCTCCCCCATGAGATAGCCCGAGTCGTTGTTGCTTGCCTTGGTATGCCGGTCCGAGTCCCGGAAAACGAGCTTCACATGTTCTGGCTTTTGCAACACCCTGTAAATGTGGTGGGACGCGTCCTGTCAGTCTCGTCATGGACACCTTAGGACATTGGGAACACATTCATACACCTCTGGTTTCATTCCTGCCCAGATGCGATAGACATTTCCATGCTCCTGCGCCCATGCCTGACGATTCTCGATGCCGTCAAGAAACTTGTCGGCGTCCCCCTGTCCGTTGGGCCATCTGTACGGGCTCCCGGGAAGTGGCCTTCCTGTTACTTCATGGGAGATCGGATAACGTCGTGTCAAATAGTACTATGATCTGCGATGTCAGTAAACTCGCATGTTCTGGGAAGGAATTCCATGACTCACGTCGAGAACCTTGGACAGTATGTCTTTGAATACATTCGTGATCATCCCACTGCCGAAGCGGTTTATTATGAGTAGAGACAGCAACAGGAGCAGGGCAATAGCAAGATGTATAGCCTGCCCTTTATAGAGGCAGGAGGGTATCGTCCGAGCTAACATCTTGGTGAGACTTTTGCGATGAGACAAACTTAAGGGTCACCTTGCCACAGCCAGGCGAGGGGGGGAATACTTAATAAAGGCTTTGGTTGCGGTGCCCGATGGAACCGGTCCGTTCGTCCAGGAATTCGTTCCGGGGGGATTCCATATTCAATGGCACAAGCAAGATTCATATGGATTCGTATATCTACTCTCAAATGTACAAGCCATGGAGGCGAAGAGGGGAATATAACTACCCTCCCACCCACACTACACACAAGAACTGACTCTGAAGCCAAAAGAGGACGAATCGTGATTAAAGGTTCTAATTACATCAATTCATGCGGAACTTTTCTTCGCCAGAAGAATCTCCATGTCCTCCGCGATCAACTGCTGCACAATGCCGGCCGCGACAGTCGCTCCTGTGGTGAGGATCTCGAGTAAGCAACCGGTATTTCTCTAGCAATAGGGAATAGAAAGAAAGGAGGCTTACCACTGCCGATAGCGTTGGCGACTGCCTTCATCGGGGTGCCAGCATCACCGGCAACGAAGACGCCCCTGACATTGGTTGAGCACAGAGGGTCAACCACTTTGATATTCTGCCCCATAATCGGGTGATCCTCAATCTCGACGCCCAGCTTCCTTACCATATCAGCTCCGGCGACAACCGTGTGTGGTTTGTGTCCCAGATACCCCATCTTGTACTCTTTCCCGCCCTCTATAACGACTGTGACACCCACGTCGGGTCCCGTCGCGGGAACTAGGCGAATGATCTTCCCAGTCTCTACCTTGCACTTGAGCGCTTCAATCTTCTGCATTGCTGCACTCATAGCCTCATTGTCCGGTACAGGTCCGTCAGTGAAGACTGTCACTGGGCCCGAGGTCTCGGTAACAAGTAGGTGCATCATCTGCGCCATATGCGCATACATCGGGTTGGGGAATGTCAGTATGCCACCGGGGAGATGGGATCGTTCATCGCCGTCGCAGAAGAAACATTGGAAACTAGTTGACATGTTCCCGTTTGAGCTCTCGTCTGACAATGAAGTTCCTTGCCGGGGGCGCTTACATGTTCTCAGGCCAATTCTCCTTGTAGCCCTCGATGTCCGGGAACACCTCGACAGACCCCATCGCCAAGGCCAATTTTCGCCCGGTCCAACGTCGCCCATCACTCGCCGTGACCTGGAACGTCTCCATGGAGCCTTCGCCCTCCATGCTTGCCTTGTGCATGCCCACAATCTCTGCATTGATGAAATCCACTGTACCATACCTCATGATCTGTTCTTTCGCGATGCTGCGGAATTCCGTGGGAGGAATGCCGTCTCGCGAAATGACATTGTGCATCTCAGCAGCGCCTTCATTCCGAAACCCTGCTCCATCAGGCTTGGTGAAGACGGCGGCTCGCCGATGCGTGCGACTCAGTCCCAAGGCCACAGAGAGACCCGCGGGACCGGAGCCAACGATCAGTGCGTCGTACATGGTTGTCGAGAGTGCCATATGGATCGTTTACAATTCGTTGCCTTAACTGCGTTGAAAAGATCGCTTGTGTACTTGTGATTCGGTTGACGCGCGAGGTTAATTCTAAATAGAAAGGAAAATATCCTGTGACAAATGCAATTACGCTGAGAACCCGCTTCCTGTGTCTCTTTCCAATGAGCCACATTGTCTACAGACCACCGAGGTCCTCTTCTTGGCCCGTGGCGTGGAGTACCGTGCGGCCCGTTACATCTCATTAGCGGGCCGGACACTGCAACAAGTGGGGGTGGCATAAGAAATCGATTGCCTGGACTCCGTAGAAGAATGCGGATACGAAGCTCTGAAAGTGCACCACTACCTAGCCTCGTCTGGTTGCCATAGTCCGCGTTTCTTGCCCTGAGCGAGAAGAATCTCCCTCTGCTCCGGTGTCCATGCCGGCTCCATATCGTCGCATAGAGCCTTCGTAGACCCAGTCATCCTTTCCCGGAGAGATACATCCTCCACTTGTTTCAGGACTCGCAGGATATTGAGGCCAAGGATCTTCTGGATCGCGCTCTCGGACACCCCACGGCGTAGTAGATCCTCCACCAACGCAGGGAACTGGGACACATCGTCAATGCCATCGGGGCCTTCAAGCATGCCGTCGAAATCAGATCCAATACCGACGTGATCGAATCCGATTTTTTCACCGGCGTAGACGATATGGTCCACGACCTGCTTCCGATTGGCATGGACACCCCCGGCGGGGTCAACGAGCTCTCGCAAACAACAGACCATAAGGACTCCTTCATTTTGCTTCAAGAGCTGCAATACACTGTCTGAGACATTCCTTCTGTGTGGAACAAGGGCGAAGCTGGTTGTCCAGTCAGCGAGACGCCAAATGACCGGGTTACATAATAATACCATGCGGAGTGAGAGAATATCACTGGAGCCCTGGAAATTGCGAGCGCGTCCTGCTGAGCTGCCTCGCTCGTGTGGGACAAATCCACAATCCTATCGATGTAGACCCTCCTTGTCAGTAATGACCATGATGTCTTTCCGAAGGATAGAGATTGGTATCGTACATCCCGACCCGATTCATTTCCTCAATCATCCGTTTTCCATCTGCGCTCAAGCCATGGTGCAAAGCAGAATCTGTCTGCGAGACATTAGCACCCGTGTGTAGAATTAATCGAAGTAGCGATTTGACTGACAGCAGAGTCCGAGTATCGGTTGTTGCTGGTATGAGTTAACGAGGCATAACGAACTCCTAGCCGGTGAAACGTTCGCAAAATGCTCGGCGAGTTGGCGATCTGGTGAAGACCTTCAATGCCAATGAGGCTGGCAACGCGGCCAGAGCGAAAAACACTCCAGACATCGGCCGCTGACTCGGCCAGACCAAAGATGTGGGGATAGTCCTCCAGCATGCGGTGGATTACATCGATCTGCTGGAGAGTGTCACGGAGCCTGTTCCAGTGAAGCTCGTCGGGGAATGTCTCTGTCTGTTTCGAGCTGTAATCCTGAGACTCAGGCGTTGACATCAGTCGATACTCTTACAAGTCTGGCACAGCGGATCGACCACCCACCATGGCACAAAGGCACTCCAAAATTGGCCTCCTACCATTCCCCTTCGCAGCCTGGCGATGTCCGTTTGTCCACTACTCAGATGGTTCAGGTTTTCCCTACTCAGATCATTCTGAAAGTGCCCTCGGAGCATCCATGGGAAATCATTGTGTCCGTCTAGAGTACCAATGTCTCTGTCAGTTCGGAGCTTCTGCCTCTAGAAACAGGATGACTAGTTATACCAATGAGAGGGACTTGTTGCAGCAAGCGCTGTGCTTTCAGGCGGTACGCATGCTCCTCGTTCGATTCGTCAAGTGCTTGATTATCAGACATGTTGGGAGAAGGTACCGATTTGCCAATGGGAGTGAAAAGTACTATTCTCAAACGATTTGGTGGGTTTAAATGACTGGACTATATTCGACTTCGCCTCCGGGCCGAACATTCCCTAACATTCCTTTTTATCACTCAGTTGCTGATCTCCTCATCAAGCCGTCCCCCCGCCCCCACACCTTTGAATGCACATGGTCATGCCAGGCCCACATGCAGCGGTAAACGAGAATGATTATGCCTCCAAGCAGTCTCGGACAGTGGCCCCGTTCATCCGTGCTCACCTTTGTCAGACCTGCCAGCATTCTAATAGCGCGACGCCAGAAAGCGAGGAACCAGTAAGCCCCAAGGCGGCCTCTCAGGGTTTGGGACCGTTCAAATGTAGGCAGTGACTCGAGGTAAGTCCGATAAGCTGGGGGGAGATCAAACTCTTTGGCACCCTCGAGAATCAATCCCTGCCATCGTCAGCCCCCGTAGTTTCTGCTCCTTCTCCCGGACTTCACTTACCATGTATCGGGCACTTGGTGCTCTAGTCGGTTGCCAGGGATACTTGGCTTGTAGTGTATGCACCAATATCTCCCGCTTATCCGTGTGGAGGTCGGCCACCGGTCCGGCCATGACGGTAATCTCGTGGTACCCAACTCCGGCACCCTCGGTGAGCACCAAACGCCGGTAATCGTCTGGTGTGAGCAGGTATGCAACGCCATGAACCGGTACCAAGGACTGACCATCTTTGTCGTTTGTAGAGCCTGCGGTTCCACGCGGCATGGGTGCGATGCTGGCAAAGGACGGCTCCGCGTAGGGAATACCGAAGATGTCGAAGCAGAGGATGTGAGATGGGACGACCACGGCTTGGGCACTGAGAGGTGTGATTCCGCGAGCCTTCATAACGGATGACTTCATATTGGATCCGTAGGCGAAGTACCAGATCGGTTTGTCTGGGACATTTGGACTTTCGACAGAGACCTGGCCAATTTCCTCAGACATGGTGACGATGTCTTGCCCCCGGAGCACAGCGAATCTGGTGTGGCCGGAAAAGGCTGAGAAAATATAGAGTTCTGGATAGTAGATGAGCAGGTCTATCTATGTTACTCTAGCATAAGGCAACAGCCAGTATGGCGTCCGTAGTATCCCTCACAGACTGTCCGGCAAGATCATCCACCGACCAATCTCGAGTCATAAATCGGCTCTTCCGGTCTTTTGCTAGGTTCAAACAACTACATTGCGCATTCACTATGGCCTCCCAGTCTCTACTTTCCCGGCGATCGAACGCCACGACCGAGGCCCTCCAGCAGTTTGGCTTCCGGGCTATGCAGAATGCCTCCGTACCAAGGGTAACTGGACAGGCAATCCTCGACCTTTCCGTGGCTGAGAATTGGTCCATTCGGTCGGAAGTCACGTCCTTGTTTCAGGAGGCAGTTCTCGCGGGACTTGATGATCGAGTATGATTATTCGCAATGAGCGTAAACGCACTACAAGGCTGACCAGCACAGCGACTGTCCTATAGCAATAGCTATTTTGGGGATACGGACTTGATTGAGGCATTAGCTTCCTTTTTCAACCGGTATTTCCGGCCATATCGACCCGTCGAGCCTGCACATGTGGCCATTGGACCGGGATCATCGGCTTGTCTAGATGCTCTGATGCATCATATCTGCGATCCCGACGAAGGAGTCCTCATCCCAGCTCCCTTTTGGAGTATGCATTTTCACTTCCGATGAGAGGCACACTCATCATCATACAGTTGATGACGTTGATACTAACGAGACAAAGATGGATTCGACTTCCACTTCGCTATCCGTGCTCGGGTCCAGCTCGTTGAAGCGCATGTCGACACACTGCACAACTCGACGGATCCAGACCGCTTGATCGCAGCGTTAACACAGGCGTTTGACAAGAGCGCGTGCCGGATCCGAGCTCTCGTGATCACCAATCCGGGTAACCCCCTGGGTCAGTGCTATTCGCGGGAAACACTTCGACGCTGCGCGGAGTTCTGCCAACAACGGAACCTTCATCTCGTCTGCGATGAGCTGTACGCCCTCTCCTGCTTCCAGCAAGACATGCTCAAACCTAACAGATTCAACTCGATTCTCTCGCTTGATCTGGAGTCCTGTGGGCATGACATGTCACGAGTTCATACTGTCTGGAGCCTGAGCAAGGACTTTGGTTGTAGTGGTCTTCGCATGGTGAGTGGCTATTTCACTTGACATTGGGCCTCTCAGCTCCAGCCGCTGACCACGACGTGGCAGGGATGTATCGTCTCACAGGCGAATCCCACACTTCTCCTGGGCCTGTGCTTGCCAATGAGTGCACAGGTGTCTTCATTGACTGCGCTCTGTACGGCTAGTCTACTGACCTCCCCGGAGCTTCCACGGCTCATCCAGTTGAATTCCGAGAGGCTATTGGACTGCTACAGGCTCTTGACGGATTTCCTCGACTCCCGCCGCATCGAGTATGTACCAGCCACGGCCGGACTCTTTGTTTTTGCTCGATTGCTGCCAATGGCGAAATCATGGGATGACGAAGCCAGTCTCCAACACCGCCTACGACGGGAGGGTCTGCTTGTGAGTCCAGGGAAGCTATATCATCTCACTCCTCGGCAGATTGGGTGGTTCAGATTGACCTTTGCAATACCAAAGGATCAATTGACCGAGGCAGTGGCGATTCTGGCCCGTTGCTTGTGAAATAAGCACACAGTTACTGATGTTCTCGAAGATCCAGAGGGTTGACTACTCGGTTAATTGTTCTATGACTCTAAAATATCCCCTGTAGTTTGAGACAATAAGAGCAGCGGCCAAGACCGCATCACTTCCAGAGTATAGCTACAAAATTCAGTTGCAAAATTGAAGAGAATCACCACCAATTCCTCCTTCTATCTGGGTGTTCATTGCCTCTAGCTGTGGAAGCAGCCCAATTCAGTAGAGTGGACTGAGGATGGTCAAGGGACCGGGTACAAAGTGATACACCTGCAGTCAAAATTTCTCTAGGATCATTTCCAACAGTAATTACTACATAATGTGATTATCTCTGTATAGTTCAATTCTGTAATTGAAATAGCACCGACACGGACCGCCCAACTCATCCACACGCTGGCTGCTACACTAGTCTATGCGGTCCGCTGCGGGCATAATACACATGTATATATATATACATGTCTATCCGGAGTACTATATCGCAATCAAACCCACCAGCACTGAAAGAAAGCAGTCATGGAAGCAACTCTCTCGGGTCTCTGTTCCTCCCTGCAGGAAATTGCCGCTCAATTGTCAGGACCTCTGCACGCCGAGCTTCTGGCGTCCCTCCACGATCACCGCGAGGGACAATTACCAGACGCAAAGTTGGGTCAACTGGCAGCCTGCACCATTGACCTGCTACACCAGGTCGAGCAACTGCTGGAGCCGTCTTCAGTGGTGCTAGCCGACCACTTCCTTGGTCAGTAGCTTGGGACCTACGCTCAGCGCTCAAATCTACTCACTGGATGATCCTCAGGCTATCTCAATACGAAATGTCTCTGTGCCGCGGTCGAACTGCGCATCCCGGACATACTGGCCCAGGGCCCGCGAAAAGTGGCAGATCTGGCGGAACTGTCCGGAGCCCGGGAGGATCGTCTGCGACAGGTTCTGCGACTGCTTCACAACAACGGGATCTTTACGTACGACCCACAGACGGACGAGTATCGCAACAGCCACACGTCCGACCTGCTGACCACCGACCACTGGACCCAATGGCACAACTGGGTCGATCTCTACGGGAATGAATTCTACGATATGGCTCGCGGGATTCCCGCCTCGGTGCGCCGGGGAGCCACCCGGACTCCAGCCCAGATCCATTTCGACACCGACCAGAACATGTTTGATTATTTCACGGCCCGCGGGTGGCTTCCGCGCCTGCACCGGACCCTCGGCGGGGGAGCCACAGCCCAAGCGCCTGGCATACTGGCCGATTACCCCTGGGAGGAATTCAGCGGCAAGGCGTTTCTCGACGTCGGAGGCGGCCAGGGAGCGCTGGTGGCCATGATTCTCCGGCGGCATCCCTCGATCACGGGGGCTTTGCTCGACACCCCTAAGGTCATCGAGCGGGCCCGCTCGCTGTTCCACGCCGTCCACGGCGAGTATGCTGACGTCGGGGACCGGGTGCCTGAGGAGAATCTGATCCCAGGGGACTTTTTGCAGAGCGTTCCCAGCTTTGAGTTCTACACGATGAAGTGGTGTCTGCACGACTGGGACGACAGTAAGACAGCTGCTGTTCTGACAAACATTCGGACGGCCATCCAGGAGAGCACAGATAGCCGTCTTGTCGTGATGGAGTCGATTCTGGCGGACGGGCGGAGTAGTCGCCTGTCACGCTACGCTGATCTGACCATGATGGTCAGCGCTGATGGCCAGGAGCGAACAGAGGCCCAGTGGAGGTCTCTTGCGGGCCGGACCGGGTGGGAGATTCGACAGATCCGGTTGTTGCGGGGAGCCTGGCCATGTGCAATCGAGATGAGGCCTGTATATCACCGTTCTATATAACTTAGACAAATAAGACTGTTTACACCGTAGCAACTCTTCATTTTCAGGGTACACCCAATCCAGGCCATATGATGGATACCGTACAAACTCGCCTCGAGGCTCCGGCCGTGATTCAGGGGGACGTAGTATTCGATGGTCGAGTTATTTTATATGTCATCAAAGGTAACCCCCGCCGCCAGACACAAATGATCGTCATGGCTGATTGAGCAGCGGACGAGACCTCGTACATCAACTACATCAAACCGCTCATCCTCGCGCGAGAGCTGCACATTCCGCATCTCCTGTCAGTCATTGACACAAAGGATGAGTGGTTCTATCGCATCCACCCGGAACGAATGGTCCCGTCTCTGAGGGACGAGGATCCCACGACAAAGAAGGAGGTGATTGTGTTTGAGAGCACCGCATGCCTCCAGTACCTTGCGGACCGATTCGACCACGACGGTACCTGGACTGGACGGAATGCTATGGAGAAGGGGGCGGTGCTCTCTTGGACAGCCTATCAAACAGCCGGACTAGGGTATGATTTACTTTCCATGGCTCCGAATACGCTGGGCTAAAACTACCGGTCAGACCGACGGCCAAGTATTGGCTCTACTTTTGTCGAGGATACCCGGATCGACAGAATCCTGTGCAGCTGCCCCGAACGATCGAGAAGTGAGTCTATAGTCTTTGAACCCTCGTTTTGTGAATCAATGGTGCTGAGCGCGGCGCAGACTTCATGCCAATTGCCTGCGGCAGTGGGATATTCTGGAACAGAGGCTCTCGTTACCGGGACAGGACTACATTGCTCTTGTGGACCGGCCCACGCTGGCCGACATCTCGTACTTTCCATTCGCCATGCCGTGGATGTTTGGATTCCTCGGGGTGAACATCCAGGATTGGCCACACATCCAGCGTTGGAGTGAAAGGATGCTGGAGCGTCCTGCAGTCAAGGCGGTGCTGGAAATGGCTCCCAAGATTGGTCATTGAGCAACGGTGGTGGAGATTAGGAACAATTCCAAAAGTCCGATGATCTTCTCCGGTGTATGTAGTTGCAATCCTCCAATCCATAGTCTCTCGCTGGCTCTGCCATCGGCCCGTACGGAGCAGGGCATGGCAGGACTAGCGCAGGCGAGAGAGCATAAGGATTAAATAGGACTTTATCTAGCAAAAACCCTACCTTTTTCGACCTGTATTGGAATTCCGTTTGCGGTAGATTCAATCGAATCTTTGGGATAAATCGTCTGACCAATATGACCAATATGTACGATCAATGGACGGGAAGCCCTTCTCTGACCGTGGTCCTGCTTGGCCTGGCAACTTTGACATTTGTGATCATCCGCGCTCGCAAACCAGCTTTGGATCTGCCTCGATTCGAAGTCACGTCCGATGTCGCTAAAACAATCGAGGAAGCGCACGCACAGGTATAGTCGCCTTGTTGCGCTTGACTATGCATTCTTGCGCTGGCTGATCGGGACAAAACAGTACCCTGAGGATCCGTTCATCCTATCAATGGTGGGAATGGAGTTGGTTATTCTACCCCGGTCTAGCATCGATGTGCTTAAAGCTTTACCCGAAAACCATGTGTCCATCAAGTAAACCCAACCTTTTGTTTCTTCCGGTTGATTATGATCACTGATTCCCTGCCGCGGTTGGGCGTAGAAAACACCACCATGACGTCTTCCTGGGCCAGTACACGTACATGGGCACGAAAGCCCCCGAATTCGACGAGGCGATGCGCTACGATCTCCCGCGCAACACACTGACCGTCCTGGCTTCCTTCGTGGCTGAAGTTGCCTACGCCGTGGAACAAAGCTTCGGTCAGCCGCGCGCATGGACATCCTTCCAACCCCGGCGCGGTATGTCCCGGATTGCCTCGTTGATGTCGGGACGAGCATTTGTCGGCCTTCCACTCAGCCGGGACGAGACCTGGATCCAGGCAACGGTCACGTACACGCAGGACGTCACTCGCGCATGGCTGGTTCTGCGCACGATTCCCTGGCCGATCCGGCCGTTGATTGCCGGGCTACTGCCGCAGGTCCGATCGTTGAAGTACCAGCGTCGGATGACCGAGGAGAGGCTCAAGCCGCTGCTTGAAACACCATCGACCCAGCAGTCCACGGCAGATGATGCGCCGGGAGGGGATATGCTGCGTTGGTTCCGACAGCGGTACCCGGGGAACCCCACGCCCAAACAGCTCGCCCGGGATCAGCTGCTGGCCACCTTCGCCTCCATCTATAATCTATCCAATGCGCTGACCTACTTGATCTTCGATCTCGCCAGTTACCCAGAACATATCGAGCCGCTGCGAGCCGAGCTTCGGGAGGTACTACAGGGCGAGTCGATCAACAAGGAGAATATCCAGAGGCTGAAGAAGCTGGATAGTTTCATCCGTGAATCCCAGCGGCTCAGTCCTCCCTCGCTAGGTAAGAGTTGTCCTATCTTATCTGCTCGTGATCTGATGAAGCTGTTACTAACATTTGGGGGTTGACTACGTAGCCAATATGCCACGAATCGTGACCCATCCGCGAGGCCTCAAGCTTCCCAGTGGGCACGTAATTCCGCACGGCACCCGAGTCATGGTTCGCGCGCACACGCTCAATATGGATCCCCTACTGTGGTCGAATCCGGCCACGTTTGATGGCTTCCGTTTTGCGACACTGCGGGATCAACCCGGCAACGCGTTCAAATATCAACATGCTACTACGGGCACGGACAACATCAATTTCGGGCATGGGATATGGGCGTGCCCCGGCCGTCATTTTGCCAGTAGCCAGATGAAAGTTGTTCTCGCCCATTTGCTGCTGCACTATGATATCAAGTTGCCCGAAGGGGCCGAAAAGCCTCAGCAGCAACATTTCGGCCTGGCCATTGTTCCCGATGAAACGGCAACAGTTCTGATCAAGTTGAGAGAGTAATTCTAGAACAATGAAATAGACCAGTCCGTCCCGGTGGCCGAGGAAATTCCATACGTATTTTAGATTTCGCCTTCGGGCTGTAAAAGAAGCTAGCGTTCATTCTCGGCAATGCTTTAGAGACACCAACCGGGCTTCAAATATTATAAGGTGTAGATGCGGTCTCTCCTAAAGCGGACCGATCGAGGTAGCGCGCAGCCTCTCAGGACTGCCCTGTCTCGCTTGCCCTGATCCTTCGCCCTGTAACCTTGGTGGTCGGTGAACGTCCAGCGTCACTACTCAGTACGAGAGGCTCTCTGGAGTATAAATTCTGCCCTGCTGTTGTTGAGACATCTCCCATACCGATCAGGCAACACTCTTCTCACTGTGCAAACAATCTCACTGGATGAAAGCAATGGATATGCAGGAGCAAATCGTCGAGGAAATTGCCAGAGCGCTGAATGTCTCCACAGAAGAGGTGGACCTTTCCTTGACCTTTGCCCATCTCGGAGGACATTCGTTAGCCGCCCTCAAGCTTGCAGGTGCTTGCAAGCAGAGAGGAATCGGAATCTCCGTGGGCGAGATATTGCAGTGCAGTTCTATCACTGATTTGATATCGTGCGCGAGGCCTATCTCTGCCTCGAGCCACATCGGCAAAACTGTGGATGCAATTACTACCGTGAACCCCACCGAGGACTTCCTGTGTCCTTCAAAGGAGCAGACTACCTCCAATACTCTATGCTTCCCTTTCCCCCGTTGTCAGACCCCCGGGTCTACCACCGCTCCCGATTCTTCGGATGCCCAGAAGGTCTCTATCCCAGAGATGCAGCTATCGTTGATTAGAGGGAGCTTAACGCGGCCAGGCCACAATATCCTGGCGTACAGTCGCAGGTGCCCCGCTGGCCAGTTGCCTGCAATGAAAGCGGCCTGGCAACATGTCCTCGAGTGGGAGGAGATCTTCCGAACGGAGTTTCAAATTGAAGACGGCCAGGAGTATCTTATCGGCTCCGGCTTTACCCCGAGTCAATGGACCGAAGTCACGGTGAGAGACCAGGCGGCCCTGGAGGTCGAGTTAATGCAGCCTCCCAGCTTCACCGGGGTCGGCTGGAAGTTTAGAACCATCACCATCGCGGAGGATGATACGGCCCATCTTTTGTGGCACGTCCACCACGCTCTGATCGACGGATACTCGATGAAGATCCTCCTTGACAAGGTGTCGCATGTAATGGCCGGGCTCTCCATCTTACCAGGACCCTCGTTCGTGACCGTCGCCAGGATGCGAGAGATTCAGATCGAGCAGCGCCGGGCAGAAGCCATAGCCTACTGGCAATCACAGAGAGAAAGCCTGGAAAGAGCTACAGGTGAGATCGCGCTGCCGTGCTTGGCCACCAGCGTGAAGCAGTCGAGTTTCTGGAATGGTCTGGCCACATATCCAGTGGACGTTACACCCTTCGAGCTGGAACAGTACGCCCAGTGCCACGGCGTTACCGTTGCTTCCATCTACTATGCGTCTTGGGCGTTGGTCCTGTCCAGGCTGTGTGACTCGGACTGCGTTCTATTTGGGGCCGTCATGTCCGGCAGGTCGTTACCCGTGGCTGGCATCCTGGAGGTGGTCGGTAGTCTGGTGAATACATTACCAATCGTCGTCACCGTGGAGGACAGCATTCACACTACTGCATTCGTGAAGAAAGTCTTCGAGCAGCTCGCGGAGCTGGCTGCGTACGACTGGACGGTACCCGAGCATGGTTATCACCGCCGCTTTTCGTCCCCTGGCGATGCAGTTTGATGTCGCAGATCAGACCCCTTGCACGACGACACAGCGGCTACCTCTCCCCAGTTCACGGATGAATAGTGAAATCCCCCTGAGCTTGCTCATAGAGACAGACGGGAAAATCTGCGTCCAGTTCTCGGAGCAGCGGTATCACAAGCAACAGATCGACTTCGTGGGGCTCCAGTTCTCCCGAATGGTCGCCCGCCTGCTACGGTCCCCCAACACCGTGGGCATGTGTGTGGAGGAAATGGTCTCCCTACAGGACCGACAAATGCTGTTCCAGCTGGGCAACTGCCTGTCGGGATTGACGACGGAAACCTCGGTTGACGAGGATCTTGTAACTCTCATAAAAAAGGCGGCGTCGAAAGATCCGCTCGCGTGCGCGGTGCAAAAGCTAGACCAGACCATGTCTTACGAAGAGCTCGACCGCTGGAGTGACTGCGTTGCGGGGCATCTGGCCACCGTTGTTCAGAAGGGAGACATTGTCTGCGTTCATGCAGAGCCGTCCATCTACTGGATTGTGGCGGTCTATGCCGTTCTCAAGGCCGGCGGCGTTTATTGTCCTCTCAACGCAAAGTTCGACCCTGAGCTTCGGTCGAGTATGTTCGAGCTATCAGCAGCCGCAGTGTACCTGACACCTTCAACCGCTGAGAAGAAGTGTCGGCCCAGCACAAGTCACCACTGCTGGGCAGTTGAGGACCTCCTGCAACAACACCCAGAAGCTCAAGGAGGACCGGAACAGGGCCATGAAGCTGATCCCGCAGCGAACGCATATCTCTGCTTTACATCCGGGTCCACCGGCAAGCCCAAGGGTGTCTTGTGCACGCACCGAGGGTTGGTTGCCTTTCAGCGGGACCGGGAAGTCCGCCTGTTCGCAGAGCCGGGGCGCAAGATCGCACAGATCATGTCCCTCTCGTTCGATGGCAGCATTCATGAGCTGTTTTCTGCTCTGAGCTATGGAGCGACCCTGGTTCTGCCGCATCCACACGAGCCATTCTCCCATCTTCTGGAGGTAGACTCGTGCATTCTCACCCCGTCTTTGGCCGCGACTATGGACCCGAAGGACTATCCGAACCTGGTGACCGTAAGCTATCACATTCGTAAGGGACTCTCAAATTGTCGTTTACTGGCTAACATGACGCGCGGAGTCAGGTCTATCTTGTCGGTGAGCAAGTAACGCAGGAAGTGAACGACCGATGGGGTTCGTGCACAACGCTCTACAACATGTATGGTCCAACGGAGGCCACCTGTGGTGCCTCTATCAAGCGATTACTTCCGGGGCGATGTGTCACCATTGGGCGTCCGAACCCCTCCACGCGCATCTATATCCTGGATCAGCATCGGCGCTTGGTCCCCCGCGGAATGACCGGTCAGATATATCTTGGCGGAGTGCAGGTCTCCAACGGCTATCTGAACCAGCCTGGTCTGACCAACGATCGCTTCCATGCGGACTCGGTGTGTCGGGGATTGCGGGAACGCATGTACGCCACGGGGGATATTGGGTACTGGAACAATGAGGGCGAACTCGTCTGCCTGGGTCGGAATGATCGCCAGATCAAACTCCGAGGGTTCCGCCTGGACCTGGAGGACATCGAGGCTCGCATCTCCAGTATTCAGGGTGTCAATGCGGCTGCTGTCACTCGTCACGAGGACGACCTGATCGCCCTCGTCCAACCTAGCAGCATCTCGGCGGCATGGTGCAAGGAACGAATGGCTAGCGTGCTCCCAGCTCATGCCATTCCACGGTATATCATCCCCGTAGACCGGTTCCCCATGACGATGGCAGGCAAGCTGGACTACAAGGAGCTCCCTAACTGGCTTGAACGGACTCGTACTGCCCCGGTGGCTACACATATGAGCCCTACCGAGCGGCGTATTGCCAAAAGCTGGTGTGATCTACTGGGGCAAGTAAAGACCGAAGAAATCGCCCCGGACTCCAGCTTCGTGGCGATGGGTGGCCATTCCCTTCTGCAGCTGCGACTGGCAAGCCGTCTTTCTGCCGAGTTTGGACGCACGGTTCCTCTCGCTGTAATTGTCAACGCACTGTCTCTTCGGGATATGGCCCGCCATGTGGATAAACTTGTCACCCGTGGGTGTCACCTAACCACACATCCCGTGAGCCAGATGGGCCCGAATGATGTTTCTCGGATGGAGGCCGAATGGCTGGCCAAGTACGGCTCCAACAACAACAGCGGTGGCACGACCAATGTCACGACGTTCAACGTCTCGTTTGCCTGCAGCCTGCCCCCGTCGATTGATATGGATCGCCTGTGCGCCAGTTGGAATACGGTCATGGCTCACCACCGTATTCTCCGGTCTAGATATCTAGTCAGTGACAGGGCATGCCCAGTGCGGGTCTACTCGCATCAGCCACCAGCAGCTCAGCTCGTGGATAACCTTGATGGCCGCGCAGAAATCAACCGTCCGTTCCACGTGGATCGGGAGGATCTCATTCGAGTGCTCATATCCCCGACGTTGATGGTGGTCGTCGTAAGCCATCTCATTTGTGACCTCACGACGATGCGATTGCTATTGAAGCAGGTGGAGGATGAATATCACGGGAATGTCCTGCAGCCAGCCAGCATCCCATATGAAACCGCCGATGCCTGGCAGCGACAAGCCTCGGAGGAGGACCTCGCTTTCTGGACGACATACCTCAAGGATGTACCCCGCCCGGAATCACAGCGCAGCAGCTACAGTGGCCGATCGCGGGTGAGTATCATCTCCAAAGAGACAGCCGATGCCGTGACGCAGTTCGTCCAGTCGTCCCCTTTTACCCACCACCAGCTTGCCCTGGCAGCCGTTGCCGTAGCTCTACAGGCGGGGAATGACCGGGTGGACGTCCTTCTTGGGGGCCCCTTTGCCAACCGCTGGTCTGAAAATGACATGAAAACCGTCGGTCTATTCCTGGAACCCCTGCCCATCCGGATCCGGTTTGCTGCGGACCACTCGTCCGATGCTCAGGCCTTTCTGCGCTGTGTGTTGTGCTCCAGCCAGGCGGCCCTTGCCCATGCCGTTCCGTGGCAGGATCTTCTCTGCCACCTGGGGGTGACACCGGAATATCCTAACCATCCTCTGTTTGAGACAATGGTCACGTTCCACGAGCGACAGGATGCGCTGACGTTCTCCCTGGACAACGCAAATACGCTGCTCAGCTGGTCTAATGGCGCCAAATTTGGTCTCATGTGTGAACTTACAGCTCTACCCGACGGGCACATCCTCCTACGGCTGGAATACGATGACAGTATCTGGGATGAAGTCGAGATAGGTCGGGTTGAAAGGTCCATCGCTCGTTCATTGGAGCTGTTGGCCCAGAACTCGTCGTACGCCGATATGATCAACACGTTGCGCGGCGCGACAGAACAGCCCCTACAACCGTCAGAGGAACTAGGCTTGAATCTGGCCGGCTACACTCTTTAGTAAGAAAAATGACCTGCACCTTTCATTCGTCTATATCCACTAGATATTCTCTACCATTGAAATAAGATATTGCATTCGTTTTTCCAGATTCTGCGTCCAGCTGTTTAGACTGAAGGAGATGTGATCCGGCCGTGGCGGCGAGGACAGGCTCCGAAGCATCTGAAGACTACGGCGAAGCTCTGTAGAGATTATCCGCGCCGACAAAGACGCCTGTTCCTGGGGATCGAGCAGAAAGGACCCGAAGCCGATGCCCGGTGCGTAGGAGAGCGCGGGAGCATGGGGATGGGAAGGTTTTCCCGCGATATCGGGTGCGGTGGACCACCGGTTCTGTAGAAGCGCCGGGTAGAGTTCCTCGCAGGCCGTCTCAAATAAGTGCACGGCATGCTGTGCGGCCGCGAGCATCACGATGGACGCCCCTACGCTACAGGCGTAATCGCGCCGATTCATCAGCTCGCCGATTGCCTGGGTGGCGGCCTTGTTGACGCGAAGGACCTCGTCGATTGCGGTCAAGCCACCGCGCACCTTTGCCTCCAGCTGCTCCAGGATCTCTGCAGCAGCAAGGATGACTCCCTTGCACGTCGGAGCAGCGGCATGCCCTTGCCGTCCGTACGGGCGATATGGCCCATCCCGTGGGATGATCTTCTGAGGCCCGCCATCACAGCTGGACGCGCCGCTCCTGTCCTCCAACCGCCAGGACGGACTTTGGACCAATGGAGTAAAACTATGCGACGCTTCCGAGGCGTCGATGGCCGAGTCCAGCTGACGGTCGAGTGACGTGCCCAATTCAGGACCCAGTTCCTTAGCCACGGGATTTGTCGTGCTCCTGCCCATATCCGCTATAGTATACTCCTGGAGTAGTTCCATGTCATGCATCCCGCCTTCTGTCCCCAGGATGTTCGAGTCGAAGATGGGCTGGGGGATATCCCATAAATCATGGTGCAGAAAGTCGCCGGTGTCGACGCTGATGGCCGGTGAAGCTGGGGAGGCAGTGACACCTTCGCGGGGATCGTCGCGTGCGGGCGAATTGCTCTTGGATGCGGGATCCGGGGCCGACTCCTGTCGCTCTCCAGCACTGCGTTTTCGACGTCCCCGAGTCTTGCCCACGCGGGACTCGAGGTAGATGCAGTCGTGGCCGAGAGTGCGGCAGCGCACACAGCCCGTCTTCTCTCCACTGCAGCGGACTTTGGCCGCATGGCAGCTGGTGCAGGCGGCTCGCAGACGCCCTGGCTTCCCGTCATGCTGCCCATGGGGCGATCTAAAGCGGGGTTTAGTTGTCAGCTTGATCCGAAGGTAGCAATCTGCGACTCACCGTGACATGCCCGGGCCAAGCATTTCCAACTGAAATCCGGGGGTGATTGAAGTCCAGCCGCGCGACAAAAGATTGCAACAAACTGCAAGATATGCCGATACCGAGGGCTGCAGATGCCTCTTCCTGGATCTTTATTGCTGGGAGCATGGGCACTGCGTAGATTGACCACCCTGGCCATGTTGGATCCTTCCTGAGTACCTTGTAGTTCCTGAAGCTGTTCACACTCTCGCCCCCAATTTCCTCCATAGCCTTACTGCAATAGGCGAAAATTAAGTTATTTATACGAGGCAAATGCTGGCCCAAGCGCCCCCTCCTCCAGGGTTTTCGGCTATCAAATGTTCTGTATGGATCCAGATATCATTGGTGAACCAACCGGCCCTTTTTCCCCCAGGGTTCCTAGCCGATGAAAAGAATGGATACCGGTCACTGGCGAAGACTTGTCAGAGGCGAAACCCACTCTAGCTAAGGGGCAGTAGTTGCTTTTGTCTATCTACAACGAGGTCTAGATATCTACCGACCCGCTGGACTCCTGGCTCTTGATGGGAAGTGGAAATAGATTGATGTAATTGTAACCCTATTAACCAATCGTTTACTGCTCCAGCGTGCCATTCGCCTTCCACTCTCGAATCTTGGCCACAACAGTCCGTGCCGCCCCTCGCGCCAACAAAGAGTACTCTTCCTGAATCTCCTTGGCGCGGTCACTCTCAGGCACCACCCCCGGGACATGCAGCTCGTACACTGCAGTCAGAAACAGGTCCGTCGGTTTATCCGACTCTCGGCCTCCACGCGAGATGAGCATTGTGCTTCGCGCACCAGAATCAATGGTAATCGCTTCAGTCTGTGGCAAGATGAGTGGTCAGCAGTGCAACTGGCAAATTCATTTTGCATTGGTCATTCGCACCAGGAGATTCTCCGCGTTGCGCACGTTTTGCTCCAGGACAGCGCCCTTGGCCGTGTGCACAGCCCCGTCGGCCATGATCAGTCTTCGAGTGAACTCATTCTCAGATTTTCGACCGAGGACTTCTGTATCTGCCACGTAGTCGGCAAAGAGGTAAGGCTTCTCCCCGCCGCGTCGTAGTCCTCGCCAGAACTCCTCCAGCGTCAGGACGGGGCTTTCAGGATCGTCATTGACGGGAACGGTAAAGGCAACGTTGAAGACCAGCTCTCTTGATTCGACCATTGTGAGACCGTGTGGGATGGCTGTCTGGTGGTTTCACTCCTCCCTCCACTTATATATTCTCCCACGGCGACGTCAACTTGAGGCCGGTCCGTTGTCATGCGGTCCGGGTGATGTGAAGGAATTCGGACTCCGAACTTGCATAGGTTAATAATCGAGGAAACTCTCCAAGTCAATGTAGACAGCCGGGAATTGATCATCGCAACTCAATATGGGTTTAGCAGGAGAGCTATTAGCACCGCTTGCGGAACAATGGCGTGATATGGCCTGGAGTACAATCGTTCTGTATGGCATGGTGCTCTTCCTCATTCGGGTGGGTTGCGCTGCAGCATAGCATGGATTCACTTCTGTGAGTGAAGACTGATCTCCACGTTGTTAGCTGCTCATCGTGTCACTCTATCGTCTCTATTTTCATCCGTTGGCCCGCTATCCTGGTCCTTTGCTGTGTCGTATCAGTATCCTACCAAGCCTGTATTATGCCTGGACGGGAGACAGACATTTGTTCGTCGACAAACTGCACGAGGCCTACGGTACACATCTCGAGGACACTCAATTTGATCATCAAAGGGCTAAATAATGTTTCTATGACAGGCAAGGTTCTGCGGCTCGAGCCCAACCTGATCTCAATATGTACTCCGAATGCCATCAAGAGTAAGACACCATCTCTCTATCGGTCCAGGATAACAAGCACTGACTCGACAGCGGTCTATGGCCCCGGGACGAAATTCGAAAAGGTACCATGTCGTTTGCATTGCGGCCTACGCGCTTCACTCACAGTGGCAGGGGATGTTCTACTCTCGAGGGCCAAAGGAGAAGCAGCTTCTCGTGGTACGTACGGAGTCTACTCTGGCACGCCCTACTCTGGCTATGTACCTAATGGCCTGTACAGAACTTGGCAAGCACGACAGATAAGCTCGTCCATGCCCGAAAGCGACGGATTATCTCGCACGCAATGAGCGAGGCAGCCATCCGCTCCTATGAGCCCACGATCCTGGAAAAGACACGGTTGTTTTGCCAACAGGTTTCTGATCCTGGAACCTTTGAGGGACCCTACAAGAATATGTCGCGGTGGTTCTCCTTCCTCACCTACGACATCATGGGCGAACTTACTTTCAGCCAAAGCTATGACATGTTAACCAAGCGCGACAACCACTTCATTCAACCCCTGATCGATTCATATCAGCACAGCCAGGTGATTGTACGATGTCTCGCCATCTCTTCCGCCGAAGCCCTTGTGTGCTGACGTTTTAGCTTGGCACGGAGCCCAGAATTGATCAATGGGGCCTGGCCCCCCTGCTCTTTCTTCGCATCATATCTGCCAACCAGCGATTCCGCAAATACGTCGATGACCAGGTGAACCGTCGTATCGCGCTCGAGAAGTCGGGGAACGGGCCCGCCGATATCTTTAAACTCCTTCTGGATCACAAGGACAAGGAGACGGGCGAGAGTATGGGATTCAAGGAGCTCTCCGACGAAGCGGTCGTCCTAATCATAGCCGGTCAGAACGCCCATTCGCCATTCTTCATTGACAATCAGAGACCATGCAGCTGACTTCCCATCCTCCAGCGAGCGATACAACCGGTACGGCTCTTGCCGGACTGTTCTTCTACCTGGCCCGGTATCCCGAATGCTACGAAAAGTTGCAACAGGAGATCCGGTCGCAGTTCGCCCATGTCGACGAGATTGTTGGCGGGCCGAAACTCCTCGCGTGCAAGTACATGCGCGCCTGCGTCGACGAGGCCCTACGCATGTCGCCGGGGGTTCCAGGGTTTCTGACTCGCGAGGCACCCGGGGGCGCTTCCATCGACGGCCACTATTTTGCGCCCCAGGTGCAAGTGGGAATCCCCACCTGGACGATGCATCGCGATCCAGACGTCTATCCAGAGCCCCAGGTGTTCAAGCCACAGCGGTGGATGGTCGACTCGGAGGAAGCGCTGCAACGGTTGCGCTCAGCCTACTATCCCTTCAGCATGGGGACCCGTGGCTGCATTGGCAAGAATATGGCCTATCACTCTATCTACCTGACCGTTGCTCGACTGGCTTTCCTGTTTGATATCGAATCCCGGGATCCTCTGCCTCTGGAGTTCCATGTCAAAGACCATTTTGCGGCCGGCAATAAGCAGGGTCCCTATCTGAAATTCACTCCATCCTATACGTCTGCCAACTACTGAGGTCCTTGCGTTCTTTAGTCATATTCTCTAGATAGTTGCAGCACTTGTATCCCATTAGCTTGGATTCCTCCTGCCATTCAAATGATAAACTTGAGATCTCTGTCTGAATAGTCCCAATCTTAGCTCGAGTGACTTGAGGGGCTTTCCCCCAAGGTGTCTGCATCGGTCCGGAGAGACCCTGATCGGTCCGTTAGATGATCAGCCCATATGAAAAGTTACGGTCTAATAGCATATATCTTGCTTTGTCTACCCCTGTCCTATGGTCAATCTCCCAGCTCCCAACGGCATCTATAGCAGTCATGGCGTCTCCCGATCCTGGCCATATTCTCGAGAAGCAGGCTGATCCACGTCCTGACCCTCACATCGACCACCCCAATCAGCCCGATGGTAAATCTCCCGGTGTGGCTCGGATCGAGGCCATCGCCGGCTGCCTGACTCCAGTCACCCGCACAATCCTCTTTCTGGGCATCTTCATTCTGGGTTATGCGTTTGGCCTGGATGCGGTGCTACGCGGCGTCTATCAAACCTACGCCACCGCAAGCTACGACAATCACTCGCTGCTTTCCACGGTCAACGTCATCCGCACCGTCTTCGCGGCTGCCGCCCAGCCCACGTCAGGCAAGCTCGCGGATGCCTTTGGTCGCGTCGAGATCCTCAGTCTGTCCATCGTCCTGTATCTGGTCGGCACCATTGTCGAGGCGACTTCCACCGGTCTCGCTGCATTTGGCGCCGGCGCGGTCCTCTACACCCTTGGTTTCACCATCGTGCAGACGCTGGTCGACATCCTCATCGCCGACGTGACGTCTACCCGGGTGCGGCTGCTGGCCACCTACGTTCCCAACCTTCACTTCCTCATCACAGCCTGGGTGTCTGGCAATATCTCGTCGGCCGTCCTGGGCGTCACCTCCTGGAAATGGGGTGTCGGTATGTGGTGTATCATCTTCACCGTGTGTGTGGCTCCCGTTATTACCACGCTCATTTTCCTCTCCCGTCGCGCTGCTCACAATTCTCCCGCCTCAATGGCCGTCCGGTCTGTCCCCTTGAACCGGCTTTTCTGGCAGCTGGACGTTCCCGGTATTGTCCTCTTGGTTGCGTCGCTCTCCCTGGTGCTTACTCCGCTTACCATCGCCGGGGGTGAGAGTCCCAAATGGCGTTCGGCTCATGTGCTCGCCCCGCTGGTTGTCGGGGTATGCTGTGTCCCAGCGTTCATTGTCTGGCAGCTCCGAGCACCGCACCCGCTGGTCCCCTTTCGTTTTCTCCGTGACAGGGGCGTGTGGGGTCCGCTGGCAATCGCCACGATGATGAACTTTGCCTACATGATGCAGGGGAACTATCTCTACACTGTGCTGATTGTCGCTTTTGACTTTTCCATTACGGCGGCAACCAGAATTGCCACGCTGTACATGTTCACCTCTTTCCTCGTGGGGCCGATCTGTGGAGCCCTGGTCTACCGTGTCCGGCGGCTAAAATACTTCATTGTTACCGGTGCCGTGCTCTTCCTCGTCGGCTTTGGTCTGCTTATCCGGTACCGCGGCGGCGAAGAGGGCTACACCAAGGCCGGAGTCATCGGGGCGCAGGTGGTCCTGGGAATTGCAGGCGGCCTCACGCCATATGCATCGCTGGCCTCGCTGCAGGCGTCGCTCGCCCACGAGCAGCTGGGAGTCATCACGGGGCTTTTCCTCGCGTTCCACAGCATTGGGGATGCCCTGGGCAACAGTGTCGCGGGCGCCATCTGGACGCAAGTCCTGCCGTCGGCTCTCGCCTCCCGGCTGGCCACGCAGCCGAACGGTACGACCCTCGCTGCGTCCGTCTATGGCAACCCGTTCGCTGTCGTCGCCCAGTACCCCGTTGGAACCGAGACTAGGAGCGCGATCATTGCCAGCTACCAACACGTGCAGCGCCTGCTCTGCATTACCGGATTATGTCTTTGCATCCCGCTGATTGCTCTAGCATTTTGCCTGCGTGATCCTCCATTGAACAATGCCCAGTCTCTTGTTGAGGAGCACGGCCCTGTTACTTCAGAGAAGAGGCCACGAGAACCTTAGGTGCTGCTGTGCTGTGGCTCCTAAAATGCTGCATCTCGCCTGTTCACAGGATTGTGTACTGTACGCAGTATCTTCATTACATATTCAAATAGCTAATCCACTCGTTTTCTTTGCGCTATCTAATTGCTAACTGAAATCTTCGCTGCACCAAGGTCCTCGCCTGTGCGCCCTTCGTAACACGGTTCTTAGTTGTAGCATGGCCTTAGCGGGCCTCTCGGAGTCCATTGCTCGGACGCCGAGTGATCCAGGTCTTGCATATATCTGTATCAGTTAACTGGCTTTTCTATATAAACCGTGTGCCATTGTCACCAGTCTCTGCTCCACCCACGAGCGGCAAAGGCAGCGGTCTACTCCATAGACATCGGCAATACAACATGGGATTACTCCATCTCACTGTTTCTCTAGCCGTGCAAGGTGTGATTGTCACATCCGCCATCTGCTTTACATCCCGGTATTCCCTCTGGCGGGCCGCAGCTGTTCCCTTAGTGGCCTTCACTACCTATCAGGCATGGCTGGCTCTGGACCTTTTCGACAACAATCAGCTCGTCAACCCCATGACTGCGGCTTTTGTCGTCGGGTTCGGCCTACAGCATTTTAACCTGCTGTGCGTGGCTCGTATCGATGCCGAGGAGATCAAACACCAGATCCAGCGCCAGACCGTCACCAAGGGCGCAGAGACGGCTGTCTCCACATGGACCTGTCTTCGTTGGACATGCTACCTGCTCACCACCCTCCGTGGCATCGACACCCCTTATCAGGTCAAAGCCATACCGCGCGGGAATAAAGCTTCAGCTTCCCGGGTCGGCTTCCTCGTGCGCACGCTGCTGATCATTGGTGCAAAGTACCTGGTGCTCGATCTCATGACGGTTTCGCCCGCGTCCAAGGATGACTCGATACGTTATTTTGGGCCTGGGAGAGAGTATCTTGTTCTTCGGCCAAACGGTCTCCCGCCCGCCACTCTGCAAGAAGTTCTCATCCACCTTGGGGTTGCGTTCCTCGGCTGGGGGCCAATCGGCAGCTGGTTCATCGACGTTCACTACCGTGTTCTTGCCGTGGTTTCTGTTGGACTGGGGGTATCCTCACCTCATCAGTGGCCCGCGCTCTTTGGTTCCATAACGGATACTTACACCCTGCGAGGGTTCTGGGGGTACGCATTCTTTCCTCTTCGTCCTGGTTTGCTTGCTCTTTTCGTCTTTGATCTCTAACCTATCGACCATTTAGCGGCTTCTGGCATCAGAGCTTTCGCTGGCCAATGCAGAGTATCGCCTCTTGCGTCTGTCGAGATCTTCTGCGATTGCCCCGTCCTTCCCTCGTCGAACGGTATCTGAATGTCACATGTGTTTTTGCCATCTCCGCTTTTCTGCACATCACCATTGACGGACGGGCCGACATCTGGCTCCCTCATAGCGGCGCTCTACGCTGCTTCCTGGTCCAGCCGCTGGGCATCATGCTGGAGGACGCTGTGCAGGAGGCGTTCCGGCGTTTCAGAGGCGGCCCCAATCATCACACTACGATCTGGACAAGATTGATCGGGTATCTCTGGGTCTGGGGATTCCTCACGCTGCTGGCTCCGCTCTACAATTTTCCTCTATTTCGGTACCAGGATCCGACCAAGAATGGGGTTCCGTTCTCGGTCATCAAGTTCGCTCGCGCGCTGTCTGGGGAGTAATTCTTCATACCGGTGGCAATGGCTCCTCGCAATGTGTATCGACTTGGATGTTAGGTTAAGATAGGCTAGACTATAGCGGAGGATGCTCGAGCAATGTATTCTGTTTCAACGCCCTGTAGCCATTGCATGTAATGCGCGTTTCCCTTGGCAATATGCCCGGTCATACTGACTCTGCCTAAACATGTCGTACCGCAAAGCGTCCTCGATGACCGCGTACTCGATCATAGATCTCCTGAGACTTGAGGTATCTCTTCGGTCGGCCTCTCAACATCCGGTCAAGATCAATGCAGTGCTTCAAGACTAGAGAGGCTCCAGTAGGTAGTTCTCATAGATCCACCGTTCTAGCCTCACTCGCCTAGAGAACGGCAAGATTTGAGTGTCAAAGCAGCAGTAATCTGTGTCCGGGAAATACCTAAAGAGGCTGTCTCTTTAGATTGAAGGATCCCAGTTTTCACCGGGCTGGCCATCCAGTACTTCTCTCCTGCCATCTTCGCTCAGATCGGCATCTCCACCTCAAAGACGTTGTTATACCAAGGCATCCCATCATACGGAGTAGATTGCCAGTATCCTAATTCCTAATCTTGAACTCTTGCTGTAGTCATAGTTATACCGGGCCGGCACCGGCAATAGGTCAACCCCGCGTTTCCGGCCCCACCGACATCGGGCCGTCCTTGATCCGAGGCGTCTGCAAAGTGGGAGCGTCATTTCTTCTTCTGTACGGAGTATTCAGGTCTGAACTTACATCTGGGATCTGTTTTTGCATCACCACATTCAAGTCACGATTCTCAAATGCCATCCTTACAGCAGAGCAAACTCGCCTTCATTGGCGGTGGCAACATGGCCTCTGCCATCATCAGAGGTCTTGTGAGCCAGGACATCAACCCCCGCAACATCACTGTCTCGGAGCCATGGGATGTCAACCGCGAGAAAATCGCCCAAGTGGGCGTGCAGACAACTACCTCCAATACTGAAGCTGCAGGGGACGCAGATATTGTTGTCATTGCTGTCAAGCCTCAAATCACCAAGAGTGTCTGTCAGGAGCTTGCTGCCGCCTGGTCCCAGCGCACATCACTCCCTGTGGTCGTCAGCATTGCGGCGGGTATTACTCTCCATAGCTTGAGAGAGTGGCTTAAGACAAGTGATGGCCAGACTGCGCATATCGTTCGCGTCATGCCCAACACACCGGCCCTGGTCAAGGAAGGCGCATCGGGTCTCCTGGCCAGCGACGATGTGACAGCAGAGGAGAAGGAGCTCATCGGTGCGCTACTCCAGAGTGTCAGCAAGGCCACCGAGTGGGTTGACAGGGAGGAACTGCTGGATGTTGTGACCGGTCTGTCCGGTGAGTATCTCGCGTGGAAGCCCCCTGCAAACGACACAAAGGCTAACTGTGACTAGGGTCGGGCCCTGCGTATTTCTTCGCGATGGTGGAGCACTTGGTTGCCAGTGCCACTGCTCTCGGTCTCTCCAAGGAGCAGGCCACGAGGTTGGCGGCTCAGACCTGCCTTGGTGCGGGCAAGATGCTCGTCGAGTCGTCTGAGGAACCCGCCCAGCTGCGCAAGAACGTGACCAGTCCAAACGGAACGACGCACGCCGCGCTCCAGACATTTGAGTCCCTCAATTTCAAGGACATTGTTGACAAGGCAGTACAGTCCGCAACGTCTCGTGCGGCGGAGCTCGGAGAGACACTTGGGAAGCTCTAGACAGGTTGGGCGAAGGAGAATAAGTCTATGCATACTATGAATCGAATTAAGACATGGAACTTCAAAGATTCGATCTTAAACCTGCTGTAGGCTATGCCAATTCAAGAACAACCAGCCTCAATAGCCCATCTTTTGGCACTTCAATTGCCTCCCACTTCCATCTCAAGGAGAGCTAGTTCAGGAGACCAGGCGTATCCGGTTCTTACATAGACATGGCATAGAACTGGAATGTGTTATGGAGAGTGTGCTTCTGCGAGTCGAATGCATAGTACCCAGCCGCCTCTGCCTGGGACCTTCAAATGACATATCATATATTAAAATCCAACTGATGTATCAGAATTGATCGGCGGTGGTGATCCTGACGTATATATTATATATATCTAGACAGGTCTAGTCCGGGGTGTCTGTCGATCACTTGTACAGCGTCAGGAAATATATTCTCGGAATGCAGCCGATGCTAAATCATATATGGCGCAGATCCTCCACTATTCGGCTGTTTCCGATGCCTCTCGGGCTTTTGCCGACACCAACTTTCGCGCTGTTGAAGTGACTCCCAAGCATCTTATTTCTTCCTTGATTGAGAAAGTCATTATCGAGTTAGAAAATGGCAACCAATCCAGTTGTTGCTTGCAAACCGCGCGCGTTCAGCCGATGGGGCTCTAAATTCCCGGATAGCATGAGCAGTCTCCCTGGTTTCCCCACTGTCGCTGTGTTGTTCCAGGCCATCGATCCTCCTATCATTAATGGCGTGCGGAAACCTCGCAAGCCTGGCGGTAAGTGGCTCGCTCTCCTGTATGTACTGGAAACGGACTTCCATCATCACCTTCCTCAGGTTACCAGGATTCTGGAGCGGATATCGCCATCCATTCTAGCTTCACGGTTTTGGCTGTACAGTATCTGAGACTATCATTTACATACCCACAAGCTGACGATGTCTCACGTCAAAGTAGACCAATAGGAAAGTCGTAAATTTATAGATCTATTCCCTCGCTAACCCCCGTGTAAGGCCCTGAATCGGCAAGAAATCCCACATGTACTCGTCCTCCGGAGCCACTTCAAAGTCGAACCGGATGAGATCCTCCTTGTAGGGGAACATGTATGTGCTGGTTACCCTATCTCTTGTTAGTCCTCGCCTGAGCATAATGGACTCCTATCTACTGATATGCACATACCAATGATGCTCTTTGCTGGCCTGGTATGCTTCCAAAGCTTCCCGGTTCTCGTGGAAGCTTAAGAGTGCAATCTCAAATCCTTTGCTCCTCTCGACCGGATCAGTAATTGTCGGCCCTCCAACGACCAGCCGGTGACCCTTGACGCAGTCGAGCTCCTTGAGTTTCTTGAGTTCGCGGACAAAGGTATCCTTGTGCTCCTGCGTCACCTCTGGACGGAACTTGAACAGGACTGGAATATATGAGTATCTCATGTTAAATGAACCACCGGCAATTGTACTAACCCATGTGTACGATCGTCATTGTGGGCGAGTATTTATAGATCCTAGGTTGAGTTAATTTCTGGCGGAAATCTGTGGTTGCAGGAAGAGATGAAAGATAGACTAAGGTAAAATAATGACACCGGTGACTCACTGTTAATCCTAATCTACTTATTTATTCCATCTCGGACACTTTCCGCATCATCCTCGGTCCCAATGTCCGTCCTTCCAGATCTAACCCTATAGACCCCAGACTTTTGTTCGGCTATCTAGGTATACTTTCCAGTGGCTCCTGGAAATAAACACGTACTATGTATCCAATTGGTGACCCTTAATAGTAGCAATTGACTTACATTATGCGGCTAAGTCTGAGTACTAACTAGTAACTAACTTAGGGTTCTTTATCCGTACAGGGGTAATTCTAATAATTATAAATTTCTACCCTCTCCAAAATATCTGATTCTTTGGGGTTTCTTTTTCATCCAGCCCACTTCACTCGGCGCATAACTGTTGTAGTAGCAGTTTCCACCAGTCTGTTTGCGCCAATCTATTTCCTTCATTCCTTCTAGGGGTACGCATCAACAGTTCTCAGCATTTTCTAACATACAGGAACGGGAGCTTGGGTGTCGAAGAATGCCACCAACACTCCTTAGCCTCCCAAGCAAGCTTCTCCAGGCCATCGCGGACCACCTCTCGGAGGAAGACCTCAGCTCTCTCGCTCAAAGCAACCATCAACTTGACAGGATCATAACACCCTCCATTAAGGAACGCAGGGAACGCAACGAACGCAAGCAGCGCAGTGAGCTCCTCCTCTGCGCCATAAAAAATTCCAAACCCCCCCAGCTCTGCCAGCTTCTGCTTCGTGATGGCGCCGACCCCGAAGTAAGAGGTGAACTCAACAAGACACCACTCCATTTCGCTGCTGAGACAGGGCAGACGGCGGTTGTGCGCCTCTTACTAGCGCATAAACATAAACAAAGCCTAATAAACATCCGTGATGTGTTTAAGCGGACGCCTCTTACATATGCTGCAGAGGGTGGGCACGAAGCAGTGGTGCGGACACTGGTTTCTACAAAGCATGGCCCTGCAGATGTAACCCTGTGCAGCAGCAAGGGTCGAAGTCCTCTCTGGTATGCTGCAAAGGGTGGCAATGTTAGAATTGTTCAGATGTTACTGGATACTGGAAAGCGTAATGCTGATGCCGGGGACGATGATGGGTTGACTCCATTTGCATGCGCTGCGAGCGAGGGCCATTGTGAGGTTATGAGGTTGTTGCTTTCTTTGGAAGGAGTCAACCCAGACTGTCGGTGTAGTATGGGGAAGACACCCTTATTTCTGGCTGCTGGAAACGGAAGAAAGGAGGCTGTTAAGTACTTACTCACTCTTAGTCGGGTGGATCCAGATTCAAAAACTGTCCATGGGGAAACACCGTTACGGGAGGCAGCCAGGAAGGGCCATGCAGCGGTGGTGCAGCAGTTACTAGCAGTTAAGGGAGTAAATCCAGACGCCATTGACCATCGCCATACCACTCCACTGATAGTGGCAGCTCTATATGGGCATCTGGAGGTGGTGAAGCTATTACTAGCAACAGGGAGGGTGCAGCTTAATGCAAGGGATATTAATGGGGCGAGCCCATTAATGCTGGCAGCGAAATTTCAACGGACAGCCATTGTTGAGCTCTTACAGTCAACAGGGCAGGTGCAGGTTGATTTTGATCTGAGCGAGTTGAGGAAGGGAATAGGGCTAAATCAATTTGGAGGACCAAGGTTGGATCAGTCTCCTGTCAAGCTTCTTGATGCCTACAAGAAAGGCGATGCATAGTTGAAACAAGGTCTTGTTCTTCAAGCACAATGCTGATCCTTCTTATTATTATTATAGAGCTTGAAGTGGTAGAACTTCATTGAATAATCTGGATGTTTCATTGTTTCTCTTTACTATCCTATATCCGTGAGATAACAAGCATGATATGATTGCAGCATAATAAGACATGTGTATCTGTTTCTCTATCTACTCTTCTGGCCCTGCACACATCACCAGAGGATCCATTTCTAGATGTGATTCAATTCAAGGCAATGCTTCTTTACACAGCCTCTCGAACATTGGGCGACTCATACTCAAAATATCACCTTGTCAAATGCTTCATGCAACCCTCGCGCCTGCAGCCATGTCTGTAATGCCTGCATGTCACCCCTATTGACTCTGTGGCCACTTCTTTCCCCTAGGGAGTCTGTGATCTCCTCCATCCCAGAGAACACTCTCTGGACATCCTTTGTCTCCCGATATCTTTCACTGACCTTTTTCTGATGGCTAGGGATATCACCCCACGAGTGTGTCTTAATGAAGCTCATATAAGCATCAATGTCCGCCGACATACCCTCTACACACAATACCCCAGGCTTTCCCGCCAACACGAAACCTGTGAGAGAATAGTCACGGGCGTGATTGACCAGATCATTCCGCTTTTCTCGAGTTGAGAGGGATGGGAAATAGAACCAGACTCTGACGATCGGCCCGGAACTGCTCGTGGTAGTCTCAGATTTTGAAATCCGGTGAGCTTCTAGAAAGCGCAGTGCTTCATCCTGAACATATTCAAAGGCCTCAAACACGTCATCTGGGGGCATTGCAGCGGCCAGCGTAGCAAGCTCGGCTTTGGACATCCAATCTGGTTGCCGCAGCGAATAACCCAACGACGGCGGCTGTTCTATTTTCGAATCATCGCATTTCACAGGAATAGATATGTTGACCTGAATTGCTTTTTCTCCCCCTGCAATCGGTAAACAGACCGCGAGGAGTAGGGTTGAAGGGATCCCGCAAGGCACTGCAGATGGCTTCTCGCACCAGTTGCGGAGTTTTTCAATGCACTGATTGGTGGACACAGGTATTTCGATCTCGCCGGGAGATGGGAACATGGCTGTCAGGAGGTCAATTGTGGATAATTGGGACTCCATCGTGTCCGGTGGTAGTAGGTATGAGTGTTTTTGTGCCATTTTGAACGCGATTCCGGGACTGTGGGGGGAGCTTTTGAATGACAGCTGCAAACATGGAACACTGCTGGCTTTTCAAGTGTTGCACTGGATTACTGAGGTCAAAGTCCTGGGATTTGCATATATTTGAACATAAAGAAGAAATATATCAAGGGAATCGATCCCTGTGGATCCACAGAAATCCCCTGGCGCACTAAATCCCCTGAGTCCTGACATATGGAAAACTGAGAGAATCGGGAAGCGCCAAGTGTCCAATTAGGATGGCTCAGGGGCCAACTATATATAGGCTGACTAAGTCGGGACGCTAAACCTAAACGGGATGGAATCCTGACACCCCCCCTCGGACCGACT